TGGGCCAGTCACCAGGAGACGGAGAGTTCTAGTCCCACCTTAGCCATGAAAGCCAGTTAGGTGAGCTTGGGCTGATCACTTTTTTTCAGCCCAACCTACCTCACAGGATTGTTGTTGATGTAGGACAAATAGGAGGAAGCAATATTTGGTATATTTGATTGTCTTTGAGTTATTAAAATGCAGGTAGTCCTCGTCTTACAACAGTTCGTTTAGTGACCGTTAACAACTGAGTTACAACTGCATTGGGAAAAAGTGACTTACGGCCATTTTTCATACTTAATGACCGATGGGTCTTGTGATCCAAATTCAGACACTTCCTGTTTACGACGGTTGTAATGTCCTGGCGTCACAGGGTCCCCTTTTGCGAGCTTCGGACAAGCCAAGTCCCATGGGGGAAGCCAGATTCATTTAACGACCATGTGACTCGCTCAACGACTACGGCGATTCACTGTGGCAAGAGTCATTAAAATGGGGGCAAAAATAACAAACATCTCCCTTAGCGACACAAATTTTGGGCGCTCAGTCATGATCGTAAGCCGAGGACTCTCTGTGATGAAGGCAATATTAATAGTTTGAAACTCTCAAATCATGTCAGACTTGAGACTCTTTGCCTTAATAAAGCTGCTTGTCGGAGGAGACTTGAAGTCTGAGCGAGGAATTCAGGGTGAAGAAAATAGCCCCCATTTTTTTTCAGTTTCTCAGCCCAAAAGGGTGTTTGACCGCTGGCCGCAATTTTTTCTCTCCCTTTCTTAAACTGCAGCCTCCATGGACTACACCCAAGAGAAATCCATCTTTTGCCGCATCAGGTGAGCAGGATTGGAACTCGGCCCTTCCTAAGGCTGAAAAATCCCCCTCCCCATTTGTCTTTTGCATCCAAAGGCTGGCCTGGCCTGGCCTTAAAAAAAACGAGCCTCATTAACGGCTCATTCGGGTGTCAGCAACTTGTGGCTCTAGAGCCACATGCGGCTCTTTTAGGGCTGTCTGCCTACCATTGGCTGGCCCTGCCCCATTGCCCTCCCAGTCATTCCTTGCCTGGCCTGAGAAGGTAAAACACGCACACACAAAAACAGAAACGAGGGAGGGAGAGAGCGGGGGGGGGGGGGCATTTCCCACAGAACACCAAGGGAGCCACAAAACCTGGGTAGGCGTGGCGAGGGTGTCTGTCATGTGACTGGGTGGAAGCGGCGTTGAGTTGGCCACGCGCACCCAGGTTCTGTGGCTCCCGGTGTTTTCTGTGGGAAACAGATCCAAATGGCTCTTTTGAGTGTTTTTAAGGTCGCAGAAAAGACTTAGAAAGGGATCCCAGAATCCCCCCAGGGAAGGGAGGTCCCTGTGGGGAGAAGATGGAGGCTTTCCACCATCCCCCCCACCCCCCCCCCCCGCGCGAAGGAGGTTAGGAAAGATGGCGGAGGGGCTGGACAAATTCCCTCCCTCCCTTTTCTTGCTCTGTCGCTCGTCCTGGTCTCCTTTGGCCTTTGGCCTTATTGCAGGCATTTGTTTCTCAGTGGAGGCCATGCCGGAGGACGGGAGCTTCGCTACTACCCCTTCCGGCTGACCCCTTACCTGACCAAGGTGCGGGATTCGGACAGCGCCGAGGGTCAGCCCTGCTGCCTGCTCATCGCCGAGCGCATCCATTCGGGCTACGAAGGTAAGAGCCAGGGGGGTCTGTGTGTCTCCCTTGGGCAGCCCAGAGGGGGTAACGGAGGAGAGGTACCTCCCCTCCCCCCCATTTGGGCTACCTGGCAGGGGTGGCGTCGGAAGTCCGGTCCCACGGATGGCCTGGCTGGGTTTTCTCTCCTTCCTGGGAAATTCCATTTTACTAGTTGGGAGGAACGCTTCCAGATCTCACGAGAGCAGTTGGGTCTTTCCAACTTGACAGCTTTAAAGGCTTGTGGACTTCAACTCCCAGAATTCCTCCTCCAGTCAGGTTAGCTCAGGAATTCTGGGAGTTGGAAGTCCACAAGTCTTAAACTTGCCAAGTTGGAAAGATCCGAAGCTTGGCTTAGTTTTGAAACTTTTCACTCAGCTGGTTTTTAATTTAATTTAGAAAAAAAAAAAAAAACTTGGCTAGTTTTAAACGTTGTACTGCTTTCCGGTGGATTTTTTTTTTACCGCCTGTAAGCCACCCAGAGTTGCTTTACATACAGAAGGAAGGAAGGGAAAAACAGGATGGAAAGATAATGGGAAGGAGGAGAGGAAGGAAGGAAAGAAAAACAGGATGATTTATGATAGGGTGGGAAGGGAAGGGAGGAGAAGAGAAAGGAAGGAAAAGGGAGTGAGCGAAGAAAATGGAAGGAAGGAGAAGGGGAGGGAGGAAAAGAGGAAGGAAAGAAAAGTAAATGAGCGAAGAAAAAAAGGAGAACAGGAGGGAGGAAAAGAGGAAGGAAGGAAAAGAAGAGGGAGTGAGCGAAGAAAAGGGGGTAAGGAAGGACAGGAAAGCTGTAACCCCTGGTGCTTTGGTGTAGGCCAGAGGGCTCCAAACTTGGCAACTTTAAGACTTGTAGACTTCGTCTCCCAGAATTCTGGGAGGTGAAGTCCACAGGTCTTAAAAGTTGCCAAATTTGGGGACCCCTTGTGAGACAAAGCATATGTACAACTCCTTTACCCTCAAACTCACCTCCATTGACCTCACCCCATTCCTAAGAGGTCTGTAAGGGGCGTGCATAAGCGCACCATCGTGCCTACCGTCCCTGTCCTATTGTCCCCAGTTATTAGTTCCTATTTCTTATGTTTAAACTTACGTTCATTCTTATTTCTATTGTATTGTAAGCTTTTGACAAAATAAATAAATAAATACGCAAAGTGAAAGGTACCTGATTTAGACAGATTATTAATCTTTCCTTGCAAAAAACAAAAAACAAACCCAGCAGGTCTGAGAGAAAGGGGTTAAAAACCTCCCTGGCATGCTGTCTTTTTAACATGCAGGGAAATCTCTCTCTCTTTTTTTAAAAGGCAATTTTAAAAAAAAAAGTGCCATTTCCAAATTGGGTAGGATAGAAAAAACGCCCAGCATTTTTTTCTGCAAAGGGAAAATTGCGGGGGGGGAAATTGGCATGTTTTAGGAGGAAGTTGGGGTGGGTGCCCGGAGCAAATTGACTTCATCTGGGCCTTCGATTTTTCAACTTCCAGCCCCCAGGATTCCTCCCGATAAACGAATCTTCACCACCAGACATACCCCCAACTGCTTGTTTCAGGACGTGGATGAGCGGTAAGGACCCCGGGGTTGCCCGGTTGGAAGTTTTTGGAAGTTCTAGTCTCGCCTTAGGCAGGAAAGCCAGCTGGGTGAACTTTGG